GTGAGAACAGAATGGTGGTTTCTTTTGTTTCTATGGGAAAGCAAGTTTGGGTAGGGGGGATGAAAAAGAAAAGAAAAGAGATAATATGAAAACGAAGATTTTAGTGGCGAAAACCTTTTAAGTCTTGTTTGTAGGGTTAGTAGTACAAGAAAAGTGAAGATAATTAATCAATTAAGCAGTTTGAGGACAAGAGGAGGGTGAAACTGTCTGTTGATCTGAACAGAATTGTATGAGAAAATGGAGGAGGCTCCACTTTCATGGAGTTTGATATCTAAGAAACCACGGTGCATTAACAAAACAAGGAAGATGGGGATAAAGGGAGAAGCAAGAAAAACCATATAAATGCGTTCGGACTATGAACTGTTGTGCATTGGGATCCCAGAAGAATGCAACTGTGCTATCTGATATTTGGGTCTTTGTCACGCCCTTACTTTTTATTACACGGAGTCATTACCAAATTCTTTAACTTAATTCAATTTCAGAGATAACATGCGGAAATAAACTCATACATTAATCCGTAGAAGTGATTAAAAATACTCTCATTTGTATGCAAAGTAAATATTACATGAACTAACTTAATAAATTGCCCTTGGGCTTACATCATTAAAAGTAACAAGAAGAAGGGTGTAACCCTTTACAACAATGGCATTCCGCCAACATAACATGGCCCCGTGGCCACAAATAAGAAGATCCAATCTTGTAGCACACCCTGCTAACACACCTGAAAAAGATTCAACAACGTGGGATGAACATATAGTCCAGTAGGGAACTCAACATGCTCCTTAACAATAACAATATTACAGATAGCTTATGATCATGAACACCCACTCTCATACATAGAATAATAATGTGACAGTTTATACAAAATATATATATGAATATATATATGAACTTTTCTTGAAAAACAATCATTTAATTCACCGCTATAAGCGATTTATTCTTCTTTTTCCTTTCATTACTCCCGTTCCAATCTTTTAATTAACAACTACTTAGAAAAATAGATTCACTAAGCCCATTACTCTTCCATTTGCCACACATACAACAGATGTGCCTTTTCAAAACATATTTGGCATTTCAATGCAATTCCAATTATCATATTTATCCATGCACACCTTTATAAAAAGATAAAACTCAACTACATACATAAAATCAATCAATGAGTCAACTCGTCTCTCCAACACTGTAACAAATACAATCCACAATGTTTCCAGATACACTGAAAACAATAACAAAACAACACTGCACTACTAGCTATATCGTAGTAAGCCAAAGATACACTTCTCACCACAATCTACCAGTTTACTAGGCGCTAGTTGAAAGGGTATGGTACTTAGATTATCAGCGCGTCAGTTCTCCAGGCGCTAGCTGGAAGGGTATGATACCTCTGATTATAAGCGCTGAACAAATAAGTGTGTGGAGTCCATCCCCTATCTTCTACACACACATGGAGTACAACCCCTCTCTTCTCCCCAACCAGTATACAAATATAATGTAATTCAGCATTTCATTACATATGATGTTCAATCAACAATGGTGTATTACATACACGGCAATTCAACACAAGCACGTCATCCTCCCCGATGACCAAGGACAAAACCTCTAGATGCATGTATATTGTACATCAATTAACAAACTCAATTATTATGAGACCACAAACCTGACACAATATTAACATGATAGTTCAAGATACAATTCCACACGTGTGTGTTCGACACTCATGAACAACAAACCAATTTTCATACGTATTTCCAAAATACTTTTCCCATTTTACAAACAAGTTCCATTCCTTTTTTTGTTTTCACATACACTGAAACAATAACAAAACAACACTGCACTACTAGCTATATGCGTAGTAAGCCAAAGATACACTTCTCACCACAATCTACCAGTTTACTAGGCGCTAGTTGAAAGGGTATGGTACCTTAGATTATCAGCGCGTCAGTTCTCCAGGCGCTAGCTGGAAGGGTATGATACCTCTGATTATAAGCGCTGACAAAATAAGTGTGTGGAGTCCATCCCCTATCTTCTCACACACACTGGAGTACAACCCCTCTCTTCTCCCCAACCAGTATACAAATATAATGTAATTCAGCATTTCATTACATATGATGTTCAATCAACAATGGTGTATTACATACACGGCAATTCAACACAAGCACGTCATCCTCCACCGATGACCAAGGACAAAACCTCTAGATGCATGTATATTGTACATCAATTAACAAACTCAATTATTATGAGACCACAAACCTGACAACAATATTAAACATGATGTTCAAGATACAATTCCACACGTGTGTGTTCGACACTCATGAAACAACAAACCAATTTTCATACGTATTTCCAAAAATACTTTCCCATTTTACAAAAACAAGTTCCATTCCTTTGTGTGTGGCAAATGGAAGAGTAACGGGCTTAATGAATCTATGTTTCTAAGTAGTTGTTAATGTTATAAAAGATTGGGAACGGGGGTTAATGAAAGGAAAAAGGGAGGATAAATCGCTTATAGCGGTGAATTAAATGATTGTTTTCAAGAAAAGTTCATATATATATTTATATATATTTTTTGTATAAACTGTCACATTATTATTCTAGTATGAGAGTGGGTGTTCATGATCATAGCTATCTGTAATGTTGTTATTGTTAAGGAGCATGTTGAGTTCCCTACTGGACTATATGTTCATCCCACGTTGTTGAATCTTTTTCAGGTGTTTAGCAGGGTGTGCTACAAGATTTGGATCTTCTTATTTGTTGGCCACGGGGCCTCAGTTATGTTGGCGGAATGCCATTGTTGTAAAGGGTTACACCCTTCTTCTTGTACTTTTAATGATGTAAGCCCAAGGGCAATTTATTAAGTTAGTTCATGTAATATTTACTTTGCATACAAATGAGAGTATTGTTAATCACTTCTACGGATTGAATGTATGAGTTTATTTCCGCATGTTATCTCTGAAATTGAATTAAGTTAAAGAATTTGGTAATGACTCCGTGTAATAAAAAGTAGGGCGTGACAAAGACCCAAATATCAGATAGCACAGTTGCATTCTTCTGGGATCCCAATGCACAACAGTTCATAGTCCGAACGCATTATATGGTTTTTCTTGCTTCTCTCCTTTATCCTCCCATCTTCCTTGTTTTGTTAATGCACCGTGGTTTCTTAGATATCAAACTCCATGAAAGTGGAGCCTCCTCCATTTTCTCATACAATCCTGTTCCAGATCAACAGACAGTTTCACCTCCTCTTGTCCTCAAACTGCTTAATTGATTAATTATCTTCACTTTTCTTGTACTACTAACCCTACAAACAAGACTTAAAAAGGTTTTCGCCACTAAAATCTTCGTTTTCATATTATCTCTTTCTTTTTCTTTTTTTCATCCCCCCTACCCAAACTTGCTTTCCCATAGAAACAAAAGAAACCACCATTCTGTTCTCACGATCTGCAAGGCCAGTAACAAAAATACACAACAAAGTTCATAACCAACATGCGTTCTTTCCTCGTTCTTTTGTTTTGCTGCCAATCATGCTTAGAATTGCTTATGCATAATACCTATCAAAGTCAACAACTAAAACAATTGTTTCCAAGTAAGGCATAAAAGGGCCAGTTTGATTAGCAGGATTAATTGTGAGGAGATTAACAATCTGTGAGATTAGTATAGGATTGGTTATCCAGTTCAATGAGATACATAATTTCCTCTTGTCCATGTTTGTTTTGCAATAGATACGGAAACATATAATCTCAATTATATATGTATCTTTTGCGTTATTAGTTGTTAGGATTAAAAAATGGATCAATTTTGTTGAATAGAATGGTTATTGAAATCTAATACGATTAATAAAACTGGCAACAAAATAATGGAATGTGAGTCCCATTATGCTATAGCCCGCCCAATTAAACAAGTCCAAAGCGCGGAATGAAAAGTACCTTGCTTTGCCCTGTCCTAGCAGGAGTTGACTGCTTGAGTTCGCCGGAAATGGACAACCCAAGTTCGCCGGAATCATAACTCTGTGAATTCTTCTCGAAAACGTCCACATCGGAATAGGAATAACGATCCTCCTTTTTCTTAGTGAAACTCCTTATCGATTTGAGCTTCCCCGAAAACCCCGACCTCTGCTCTCGGACTTCTGACTTCGGCTGCATCGTCCCACCTGCACACACCCCTCCCATTTTGCTTCCAACAATTCTACTTCAAGCACTCTCCCAATTTAAACCTAACAAACAATTTTACAACAACAATTCATTTAGTTGCGCAATATATGTATATAAATCACTACATTTCTTTCTCAGTAACCAAACAGGGTTTAGAAAATCTAGCTACCTCTCTGATCACACAAAGTAATGTAGAAAATCGAATTCAGAGCACGAGAACGATGAGATTATGAAAGATTAAAACTAGAGAACGATTGTAAGCGTGAGTTTGACAGAAAAAATGAGATTTAAAACCAAACAAAAAAAATCAACAGATTCAATGAACCGGATCGGATTGATTGAATTGAATAGTACTAATACCGCGTTATGTGAGCAAATCAAATCTGGTACGCATCGGATTGACTGATGAATTGAATTTTATCTTGTTGAAAGAGGCTCGATTCGATGGCCACAATTGCTAACCACACGACACGGGCTTGTAATTAAGTTATCTGCAGAAATGCTTGACTAGTTCTGTCTTCTGTCTCTATAGTTTTGTTTTTCGTTCGCATAAAAGTCTCGTCTGAATGTGGGAAAGGTTTGGTATATAAACAAACAACAATTATTTAGGCCATGTTGGGCATGATTGAAAAAAGACAAAAAGTTAAAAAGTTACTATCCTATTTAAGTCATATCATCTTATTTAAGTCACATCACCTCTCTAACACATCACTTCAAACTCAACTCAAATCCAATCCATATTTCATAAAAAGTCAAAAAGTGCACTTATTTAGTCTTCCCAAACTAATCAGTAAAAAATATATTATTAATAGTATTAATGTATTAGAAATGATAAAAAAAAATAAAAACAAAAAGAATAAGGCATAGAAAGTTTTAAAATTTTAAAATTTTTATAATTTATATAATAAATAACATCAATAATAATAATTTAATTAATATAGATAACACTACTGATATTGTTTTACATATAAAAATTACTCCAGAATGTGAGAGCGGGGATATGAAGTCCCGCCCACGGTTCTGAGTTGAGGCTTGGAATGACCACTTTACAATATTGTCCCTATGGTTCTAATGTAATTACTGATTAGGTTTGCCTTATAAAAATATCTTAGTAGATGTGGACCCGGAGAATGTCGTTTGCCTTACATACCATATTGGTTTTTTTTTTAAAGGTGCTTAAGACCATTTCCAAAAGTGAACTAACTTTGCATCATATTTAAAATTTTATGAAAAAATTACTTTTTAGAGTCTTAATGGTTTCACCAAATTAGTATTAAAATAAGAATGGAATAAAAAATTCATCAAAGTAAGAACAGACTTCAGATTTCACCATTCACTGTGCGTTGCCGTTGAGGTGGGCCAACCGTTCAACCAACCGATTGTCCGGCCGGTTGACCAATCGGTTGATTGGTTCCCCTTCAAATAAGTAGGTTCAAATCGGTCAAAAAGGTTCAAACAGGTAAAAATAAATAAATAAATAAATTTGCCTTACCGGTTGACCGGTCGGTCAACCAACCGGTCGACCACTTCCCTTTTGATGCACGGTTAGAGCAAATAGTATCAGATTGAGAAAATTGACTTTTTTTTACTCAAATTTAATGAAAATTTTGATTCACCGTTGGAGATGCTCTAATACATTAAATTTATCATTTTTTAAATTTAATATTTGAAAAATATTAAATTTTAATTTATTAAATATTTAATTATGTGAGATTTAACATTAATGTTACGTCATTATGGGCTATTTAGTGAGAGTAAATTAGAGAATGTAGCATTATTTTTTTGAGTGATACTACATTCTTTTAATTTTGCACCTTTAATTCCATCCCTAACAATGTAGCTCACTCCTATGTGAAGTGATATCACATTTTGAAGATAATTGATTAGTTATTATTATTTGTCACATCATTATAAGCACAATTAGAGATAATAAAATGAAAGAATATAAATCACTGTGCTTGGTTACCAGTTTTTCAAAACACTTTTCAGAAAATTCTATTTTCTTATTTTTCGTGTTTTTTTGTTTTTACTGAATTTTTTTAATATTTTAAGCAATTTTTTTACTTTTTAAACACACCTAACATAAATACACTTAAAAAGTAAAAAAATGTAAAAAAAAATCTTTTAAAAATTCACTAAATACCAAAATTACAAAAAAAAATACAAGAATTCAGTACATTTTTTGTATTTCTATGTATTTATTAATTTTTTAAAATATTTTTTCACAATTTTTTTACTTTTTAGATACCTCTAACTAAAAAAATGTTTAAAATTTAAAAAATATTCACTAAAAATAAAAGAATACGAAAATCAAAAAACTCAATTTTCAAAAAAATTAATCCAGAAAACTCAAACCAAACACACTGAATATTTTTCATTTTTTTTAGATGGCGCTAAAGCCGCACAATAAACGTTGTTTCCACATTTATTTTCTTTTTGGCATTTCTACAATTGTTAAAATAAATAAAAATTTAATTTCAATAAATTTTGCTTTGTATATTGTTATATTTACTGATGGTGCTACATGTACCAATTAATGTACTAATTAATGTACCAACACTAGTTATAACATTATTTTGATCTCACTCATTATACAAATTACAAATATTAAAAATCTCTTAAATTGTGTCACATCATTAATTGGTACACTAATTAGTACACTAATTAATACATATAATATTATTTTATATTTACAAATATATTGAGTTAAAGATGATTTATTATACCATTATTAAAAAAATTTATTGTTTGATAACAATCACTTATTTTCTTAACTTTTTTGGTGTACTAATAGTTTGGACATTTTTTTTTTTAATTTGAGAGACATGTGTTACTCCATTTATATGCATCAATTACACCAATGATAGGAAACATTCTTAGAATACCAAGCGTACTTTGGGAAGTGGGTTAGTTTTTTAACTTTTTTACTTTTTTGATTATATGAGCCTGGGCTCAAAAGTTTGGTTTGGGAAGGATTTTTAGCTTTTTGACTTTTTTGATTTTTTTGTGAGAGAAGAGTGTAATGATTATGGGGTTGGATGGAATGTTTTGTCTGTTGTGGCTCATGAGCGTATTCTGTCTTTTATGGCTCATTGAGCCAAAAAAATCTAATGAGCCCTTGTCAAACTAACCCCAAGTAACCTAACTCTTTTTTTTACGCCAACTTATAAGTTTTTTTTAATTTATTTTAAAGTAACTTTGTCAAGTTTAAAGCAAAATAATATACATATATATAAAGACAAAAAAGTTTTCTTTTTTAAAAAAACATATATTTTTATTGCAAAAAAAAGTCTCATGTGATGGTCACCTGTCAATTTCATTAGTAAAATTTAACATTAAGGTTGTGTTTGGCTTGATGAGAAAATGAGAAATAATTGATAGAATTCGAATTTTAAGAGTTGTTTGGGATGTCCTAAATAAGTGCACTCTTTGACTTTTTAGACTAAAAAGTTGAGAAAAAAAATATGGTTGTTTGAGATAACTTTTTGTCTTTTTATGAAAAAATGTGTATTAAAATATTGTATAAAATAACAAAATTACATTTTTACCCCTACATGGCAGAATCATCAGTGACAGGCGGCAGAGGGAAGTGCGGCTGGGTTGAAATGGTGCATGAGGCTTCACGGGTACTGTTCGGCTGTGGGGTCCACCAATGGTCCCATTTCGATAATCCGAACCGTTGAATGTGTAGAGCTCGTTGAGTACTATATGCTTATGAAAAATTACTTTAATCAGATATCGATAGCTATATAATCAAAATAGTTTTGTATGAAATTAATGGATAGTGAAAAATAAATGGCTGAAAAAAAATCTGATTCAATCACATAGCTATCCATATCCGATCAACATGATTTTTTACAGGCATATAGTACGCGATGAATTCTACACATTGAACGGTTTGGATTATCAAAAGCGGACTCGTGGTGGGCCCTTACGGGCCCAACATTACCCTTCAACTTATAAATATATACATCTAATTTTTTTTTGGAAAAATTACCCATAAATCCTATCTACAGAAAAGTTAAACCATTTAGTCTTGTAAGTTTTTATCTATACCATTTAGTCCTATTTTAGTGGCAGAGATTTGGGGGTGTGATTTGATTCTATTTGTTTTGACGTCTATACCCTTTCCATGTTTGTTTCTGTTAACATGCTACTGGTTCCGTAATGTTGACCAATTTTGGGGTTTGATTACCATTGTTTTCTTTGTTATTCAGAGTCCGATCACGGTGAGTGCCATTTTCGCTCAGAATACGGTGACTGCCATTTTCATTGTTTTCATTGTTTTGTATATGGTTACGTAATGTTAATGGTTTGTGGGTTTTTTTAGTTATTAACATTGGTTTTCACCATTTCTGTAATCTGTCCTTAAACGGTTTGTACCATGTTCATTGATGGCCAATTTTTGTACTGGTTTTTTGATTGATTAACATTGCGTGGTTATTGATTACCATTGTTTTCATCATTTATAATTGATTACCATGGTTCTCCTTCATTGACATTGTTTTTCACCATTGGTTTTTGGAGGCCGAAAACGGTGGCCACCATTTTTCCCCATGGTGGGCGTTAGTTTTCCGGTTGACTGCCGTTTTTGTGGCAACGTAACTGTACAGTGCAGGGGTATTGGATTGTTGTGTTTACACTGCTGTGGGTAACATTTTCAAAACGAGTGTGTGTTGGTTTATTTTATTTTGTTCCCCTCCCAATGTTTGTGATCTTTCAGTGAGGTGGCATCGATTAATTACAGCAAATTGATGGAAAGAAAAGGTGTTTTTGTTATGTTTTTTCCTGGGTATGTTGCCATAGTAATGGGTTCAACAAATGTGTCACAGGTTTGGACGGAGGGATATTGTTGGTGTGTTCGTACGGTTTAGTTAATGTTCTTATTCGGTTGCGTCAAGATTCGTCATTCGTACAGATTGTTGATATTATTTGTGCGAAGTTTGATGGATTGATACCAGGAGCGGTGTGTTTGGTGTTCAATGTTCCCGGGTACAAGAAGTTTAAGGTGGATAATGACAACGATATTCAAAACATGTTATGCCTTGCTAAGTCGTTTGGAATAAATCACATTGAGGTCCTCATTCCGGAAAGTAGTGTTGGTGTGGGGGGTAATTGTGGTGTAGTGGATTCCACGGAGGATGGGGTAATTTCCCGAGATGCTAGTCAGAATGGTTGTGTGGATGACCAAATGGACTTATTACCAACATACTGTCTGAACAGATCGAAGACGTTTTTGTCGGCGCAATGGGCGTATGGGATTACCCATGTGGGATAATGTTTTGACGGTAGAGCAACTGAATTCCGTGAAGTTCTATGTAAGTACGCCATTGAACGTGGATTTCAATTCAAGTACATTAAAAATGATTTTGTTCGAATTACAGTAGTGTGCAAGTTTGCGGCGTCAACAGATTGTTTGTGGTCAGTTCATGCGAGGATGTTACCGTCAACTGGGGTGTTATGTATTAAGAGGTTCAATAGTGTGCATACTTGCGGGGCTACTGTACGTACTTGTAGGAACCCTCGTATGGGTTCTGATTTGGTGTCTGCTGTTGTTGCGGATCGAGTGCGCGATCAGCCATTGACGCGTCTTACTGATGTTGTGTTTGACTTGAAAAATGAGTATGGTTTGGACATTAGTTACCAGGTGACATGGTTGGGTGTTGAGAAAGTTAGAGGTGAAGTGTACAGGGATCACGCTACGTCCTTCGATCAACTCAGGTGGTATAGCGATGCCGTTATGCAAAAAAACCCAAACAGTTACGTCAACCTTGAGTTTGACCAAAAAATCGGGAGGTTTCGTAGGTATTTTATATCATTTCGCGCTTGTATAGATGGGTTCAATCATTGTCGACCTTAGTTGTTTTTGGATGGAACGTTTTTGAAAGCTAGGTTCAAAGGCAATTTGCTTGCGGCTATTGCTAAAGGCGTCAATCAAGGTAATGGTTTCATTTAGCTTTCATTTGCAAAGTTAATGGTAATTTGCTTTCATTTTAAAAATTACATTGTACTTATTTTGTGTGGAAGTTGTACAATTTTACTCATGGCAAACTGTTTATGTTGTATGTTTGGTTGTAGGATTGTTTCCGGTAGCCTTTGCTATTGTTGATTCTGAGAATTCATCTAATTGGGAATGGTTTCTTCGTAATTTGAAAGAAGTTGTTGGGGGCAAGCGGACATTAACTTTCGTATTTGACCGTCACATCGGATTAATACACTCCATACCAATAATTTTCCCTTCGGCGCATCATGCATTTTGTTTGTTGCATCTCCAAATGAACTTGCAGGATCGAATAAAATATGTTAATGTATCGCAAAAAATTGGGTTGATGCGCAAGTTGTGGGAATGTGCCCACGCGCCCACTGTTACTTGCTTTAATGAGAAATTTGAGCTATTGAAGAAGTGCAACCCAGCTGTGATTGAAGATTTTCTTAAAGACTTGCACCCAAAACATTGGTCTAATGCGTATTTCAGGTACTTCACAATCCGCTTAATGGGTTATGGTGTATTGTTAATCCCTGCATGTATTTTTAATAATATGTTTTTGTTATAATTTATGCTCTCCGTAAACGTTTACTTTGGTCATTTTTTTAGTGGCCGACGGTACGGGGAGATGTGCTCAAACACCACCGAATCTTTCAACAATTGGGTTGGCCAGGCCCGTCATCTTCCTATTGCTAGATGGGTTGATATGGTAAGGGGTCAAATCATGGAGCAGATGTCGGAGCGCAGAGTTAAATGCACTAAATGGGCTGGTGTAATATGCCCGAAGATGGAGAAAAAATTGGTGTCAGCGTATAACGACAGCAGGGCATGGTGTGTAAGCCAGGCTAACGATGATGTGTATGAGGTTCATTCCCACCCGTCGGTGTTGGTTGACGTCGTCAAGCAGACATGTTCCTGTTTTCAGTGGTAGATTAATGAGTTCTCGTGTTCTCATGTTGTTGTTGCATTCCATAATAGTGGGAGAAACATTTATGATTCAATAGACTCTGCATTCTATATCGAGACATTTTGAGCTACTTATAGCGGAACTATATACCCCATTCCAACAGTGTAGAGGCCGACGTTTAACCCAAATGAATATTTCATAGCACCGCCGACAGTCAAGCGTCCTCCCGGTAGGCCCAAACGGAAGAGAATTCCCTCCAAAGGCGAGGTAGTGCAAAGTATACGTTGCGGACGTTGCGGAAAATTGGGCAATCACAATAGGAAGACATGCAAAGAGCCGTTACAGACGGCCTGCCATGTGGTTTAATTTTCTTTCACTCACAAATTGGGGTTCAGTTGGACTTTTATTCTGTTTTCCGAAATGTTTTTGACATTGTTTTATAATCACTCATTTACTTTTTGTTATGGGTTTATTCAAATTGGTAGAATATACACTTCTCTTTCTGTTATGGGTTTAATTTCGGTGGCCACTGTTGAACAATCACATACTGCACCCTTAACAACCAACCACCGTGGACATTACATTACGACATCACTTTCATGTTGCTATACCGTAACAGTAATGTGTGTTGTTTGTTTTCATATCTGTGCACATCATACCAGTCAGTCACCCACAACCCACTGTTTCAAATAATGGAAGGCTAATGGTTTTTAATGTTTGGGTGTATGTTTGCAATTCA